TGTATTGGTTTGGTTGAGTGTTTTCCTTGAAGGTTAGTATGATTTAGCAAAATTTTAGGGTTATATCTTCGCCGGGCGAAGGATTTTGTCGCCGCGGCGAAGAGGGAGTGCTTCAACCCGGGTGGCTCTGTGAGTTTTCGGGAGGCGAAGAAAATAGCTTCGCCGCGGCGAAGACTCAGCTGAATGTTTCCCTTGAGTTTTTGAGATTTCTTTCTTTTGAGACTCAATGACCATTTACCCCTTTTTAGCAGGAAAAGGGGGAGTGAATTGTAAGGAAAATTCATGGAGAATAGTTTGAGTGGGGTTGTGTTTGTAAAGAATGAAAGGTCTTAAATGGAATTTCAAAGAGGGTAAGGGATTTTGGGAAAGAGTGGAGAAAAATATGTGATATTAAGGGTTAGCTTTAGAAACCCTTCATTTTGTTTTCTCACCACCGCCTTTTCATCCTATCTCTCAATTTTTCATCCAAGATTCCAAGGATTCTTGAAGAGCTTTTGACTAGAATTTGTTACAAATGATCCTAAGTACTAAAGGTAAGATCTCTATCCTAGAAGCAAATTTTCATTTGTTGAAAGAATGGGATCCTTATTAAGTTTTGATTGAAGGTTAAGAGAAAGTGTTAAGCATCAAGAGTGGAGAGTTTAAGTGGGTTCTACTGTATCCAAGGTAAGTAATTCATCTAAGTTGTGATTTACTTGATTGAATGATGGGAGAGAGTTTTAGATCTATGATTAATGCTTGAATGTTATGTGAAATGAGTTGATGAATTCATGAGGGTTCAATGTTGTTACATGAAGGATTTTCCACCATGAGGAGGGTGGATTGTGTTGTGAAATTGTGGTAGAAGTATGGGTAGAATTAGAAGTAATTGAGAGGAATTTTGAAGTGTGTTTTCTTTGCAGGATGTGTGATGATTTAAAGGAGTTGAACTCCAATTTTGGATGGTTAAGAAAGAATTAGATTAAAGTTAGAATAGAGTTTATGATGCACACATATTGTTTGATGAAATGCCTAAAAGAAGCATAAGTAGAATTAGAACCTTACTTATGCAACGTAGCATATTTGCATGTCATGAATGCATATAAGGAAGATTTTATGCATGAGTCATCCATATGCATATGTTTAATTGAATAATTACATAAGAAAGAAAATGAGAAATGAGAAAGAAATACTCTATGAATAGAGAATAAGAAAAGAACAAATTCTCTTAGAGTAAAGAGAAAGAAAGAACTAGCACTGGAAGATAAAATGATTCTAAGTGCTTAGAAAAGAAAAGAAACTAGGTTGTGCGATGGGAACTCGTAAGTATAGAGTTTCCTCATGTAAACCGTTATGAGAAAGAACGGTCTCCGCCATGAGAGAGCGGAGTGCTTGTAAATCGCTATGATAAGGAGCGATCTCGCCATGAGAGAGCGGAATGCATGTGATCCGTTATGAGAAAGACGGACTCGCCATGAGAGAGCGGGATACACGTAAACGCTATGAGAGAGAGAGCGGTTTCGCCATGAGGAAGGCGGTATGAGTGAGAAAAAAGAACAGAATAGAAGAAAAGAAAGAAGAAAAAATGAGAAGTGAATTAGAATTTTGATAAGAATACAAAGAGAATTGATGAGTAATGCACGGGGATGATAGCGTAAGAGAATGTTTACTTACTGGGCATCTTTGTGCTCACTCCGTTGTTTTCTTTGTTGTACAGGAAATAGGTGAGGACTTGGTCGGATGGACGCGGCAAGCGGGGAGATTTGGCTGCACTGTCCTTGTTTGTTTTGTTTCGAAAGTCCTTGTACATATGATGTTTTGTTTTGTAACGAATGTTTTAAAGTAAAGGAAATTTTTGGGCCCAACTTGTTTTGATAAATATGCTATCTTTTATTAATCGATATTATGAATTGGTAGAAAGAAAGTAGTTGTTACACTGTCGATTTGGGTTTGACCTCCAGTAATCCCATCCCAACTAGCTCACTTCTACTTTTATTATGTATAATAAAACTTCTCTCTCTTCTCCTCTCTCTTCTCTCTCTCTCTCTCTTTAATATTAAAGGTATTTTCGTCTTTAATTAAATATCGATAGAAAACACTAACAACCTAACGAAGGTGGGAAAGTATTGTCTCACCAAACCTTGGGTGAGAAAATGTCGTTCTCCTATTTTTGAAAGAAGAATGCATTATGTATGATTGTATTAATTCAAATTTTATAGTTTTCAGCTCAAACAAAATAATACAACCATTTAGAATATTTAAATTGTTGCATAGGCTAGTCGAGAAGGTATTATCCCGTGCCTGCTCAGCTCAGTGAATGCACTGTAATGGGCAGATGCGATGGATATAGAAGAAACCGCAGCTCAAGCTAAGGTGCATTCCACATTTCAAGTCAGATGAGGTAAAGACAGAGGCAAGAGCTGAGCATATCCCATGTGAGGCATCATTCACATTCCTCCACCGTATTCTTATTCAGCTATTAAGATTCAAAAGATATAATAAGAGTAAAGATATGTTCCACCCGAGTTAGCGAAATGTCAAGTTAATATCTCTGGTTCCTTTCTTCCAGATTCCACCCTTAATCAACTGAAACCATTAATATAACGATATAGGGTAAAAAGGTCATTTCAATTGCATTAAATCTAAAATAGAAATGAAAATACAAAATAACCCACCACAACAAAAATTCCTCTCAAACACCACCCTCTCTTTCTACCAAATTAGCCGTTTTTAGTGGAAGTGTCGGCGCGCCGGTTAGCCAGTTGGGTCAATCCTAATCGATTTTATCACCGAAAACAAGCCAAAATCAACTCATTTTTACAAATCCAACCCTTTCCCACCTTGAATTTGACAGATGCCACCATTTCGCCCTCACCAACCATTTTTTTATCGATTGCCTCTCTTTCCAAGTCAGATTCCGTTGAATCCAACAACCAAAATCAAATCTTCCACCACCCTCTAACCGCCAAACTCTGCTCTATAAACCCCTCAAACCCTGCAACTAGTTTCCCTCTAATCCTCAGGCATGAAAACGCTGCCTCTTGCCATTGTTTTTTTGCGATTTGCTAGGTTGGAGCTTTTTGGAGGCTAATTTTTGTAGTTTAGTGTTGGTTTGCTATTGAAGTGTTGGTGTTGTTTTTTTTCGACTAATTGTGGGTGTTTTTCTGGGTTTCCATCATCCCCAACCATTCCCAGCTCTCCCCCTCTCAGGTGCATGCCAAGTGCTAAAAGACCCACCAACAATTTGAGGGTGCACTGGGAAGGAAGGTAGGGGTTTTGTAGTCAGATGAGGGAATTTGATGGGTACAGTAGTGGTGGTTTCGGCCAACAATGACCAAAATCTAGCCTAAAGAAGGAAAACGCACAAAGGGAAGTGGTCGTCGACGACGATTTGAAGTGCATCAAAGAAGGAAAGTTAGGAATTTTGTAATGGGTGATGTGGTGAATGATGGTATTGTAAATGGTGGTTTCTATGTCAAAATCACAGAAATCTGGCCTAAAAGAGGGAAAATGCGCCAAGGGATAGTGGTCGTCGACGGCAATTTCAAGGTGCCCTAGGGAGGAAAGTTAGGGGTTTTGTAATGGGTGAGTGGTGAATCGATGATAGTGTCAATGTGGTTTCATGTTAAAATCGACCAAATTTGGCCTGAATGACTGGAAAACACGCAAAGGAACAGTAGCCATCGGTTGGCGATTTGAGGGTGCAATGGCAAGGAAAGTTAGGAGTTTGTAATGGGTGATGTGGGGAATCTAATGGAAGTGTCGAGGGTGTTTTGGTGTTGCCGAATCAGCTAGAATGAGCCTAAGCCGACGCTTGGTTTGGCAAAAATGGAGAAAAGAAGGGGATGAAGAAGAAGGAGGTCGGGGTACTTTGGTAAAAGCACCCTCTTCTCTTGTGTTCCACCATAACTAATGACATCTATTAAGGGTGGAATATGGAATAAACACAACCAAGGGTATCAACCTGGGTTTTGCTAAATCTTAGGTGGCAACATGTCGTTTACTCAGCTAATAATGACAGAATAAAGAAATTAATCTATTACATACTTTTCACCAAACTGCCTACCCGAAATTCTCTCAATAAAGAAGAAATTATAATGTTGTGTCAAATTCCAGTAAATACTTTTTCCCTATTTGTTCACAATGGAAAATAACATAAATTTATCAAGTACCATGGAACTCAAAGTTTTAGAGTTTCCATGCTAGTTGCTTGATGAACATTTTGTAATATTTGGATGATTTTTTAATTCCGCACAAAAATATTAAAGGCAAAAGGTACAAGAAGAGAAGTTGTCTAAAGCCATAAACAAAAAATTCTTACACCTCCAACACTGGAAATCGAAATGATTATATTAAATTTCATTAGAATCGGTTCAAAAGAAGAGCTCAAGTAAGATTTTGAGAAGGCCTAAAATTTACTCACTAGATTCTGATCATATTTGTTTCTTCACTTAGATATCCACTTAACTCTATTGCCAGCAATGTCTATGATATTTGAGGAAATAAATACATTACATGTACTGGTAGGCAAAATTTTGTGTTTGAACTCACCACATTTTCATAGCAGAGTAAGTATCTGTGTCAAAGTTGAACCCACCACATTTTCATGGGAGAGCAAGTATGTGTGCTTGGGAAAAGTAGAACAAAATCAAAGTTGAGCCAGCCAAAGCAAGCACAAAATAATGGTAAAAATTTGGAACTATACAGATGCATACAGAACTCATTGCAGTAAAAAGTCATCAAACAACTTCAACTCTGACAATAATAAAAGTATTAGACAGGCAAGATCTGTTGCTAAAGTGATTCCATACAAGGAATCGGATGATAATTGTGTTCCCAAGCAGGAGCAATTTTCACAACCTTAAGAAAGATAGCTGATAACGTTGAGATGGCAGATGATGTTGGTAAAGTCACCGAGACAAGATGTACAGGAAAAAAGAGACTTAGTATCATTAAGTGAGGACAAATGTAAAATGAAGAGGATTGCGATCAACAATATAACTTATTATCAACAAATGAAATTGGTCCTAACTTCAATCTTCATTTTTCAAATATTACTTCTACTCACAATTAATGTACCATATACCTTAAAAAAGGCTACACTTGAAAGATAAACAGGCTAAGAAATTCTCAGCTCTGAGTAAAAATTTTAGTATGTGATACAATGCTAATGGGCATTATGAAGCAACAAACGTTAGCAGAGCCAAAATAGACAATAAAATCAAAAGTATCAAAGGCCTAAGAAAACACCATAAAAGGCCCATTTGAGATTATTGAATCAGATCTTTCAAAGCATAAGCCAGCCATAAAAGGATTCTACCTTGCTTGTGAATAAGCTGCAAAGCTAAGTCTACCAAGATGCCTTCTTGACGCACGGCAAAAGACCTTGATTTGCTTTAGTACGAAAAACAATACGAGACATTCGAAATTTCAGGTACACGCCACGAGGTCGACCAGTAAAAATACATCGGTTTCTTACTCGTGTGAAGGAACTGTTTCTCGGCAACCGAGATAACTTGCAGAGATATTTCTCTCGGATCTCAGAAGGAAGATCGGTATCTCTCTGAAGAGATTTGTAAAGCTTTCGCTTCACTTCATATTTAGCAGAAAGCAATCTGCGTTTGTGATCCTCTATATTTCGCTTATCCCCGACCGTACAGATTGTCCTCCTGAATTCAAAAGCAAACGAACTTTTTCCTATTAAAAAAAAAAAATATATATATATATATATATATATAAGGAAACAAATACAGAAAAATCAAGAAATTACCAGAAGCTCATGCACTGAGAAGTGATGCTGAAGATTTTTTGGCGGGCGAGAGCCATGGATGCGAACAGATTCTTCTATTTTGTTTTGAGAGAGACGAAGAGAGAACGAGGGTTTTGAGATTTCTGAAAAAATAAAAGATTAACCTAATTTAGATGACCGAATGTAATAGACCGATAAAAAAGCCCAGGGTGGTGCTGCTGGCCCAAACCCAATAAGAAAGGCCTGGGCTTTTAATAAAAAAATTGAAGATGGGAAACTATAATAATCGAAGTGGGAAGTGAAACCAGGCACGTGCCGCCACGTCTTCACTGGAGTATTGCGCAGATGGGTTGATGAGTCTGATCACTGGAGACATCACATGCAATGGCTGTCCTTTATTTTACCAAATTATCCACACTTCCTTCTCTCAACCCTCTTCTTTTTGTTTATATTCATGTCATAAAGTTATCCTACTAACTTCCCTCATATTTAATCAATTAAAAAAATATGGGTTACCCATTTCCTACTGTTAATTACATTCATATATAAGAGAATATACGAGGTTTAGTTTGAAATGGTCGAACCCCCCCGAGTTTTGAAAATTAACATTTTTACTCCAAACATCAGTAATCTTTAACTTTAACATTTGAGGGATACACATGTCATTTACAATTAAACAATGAATCTGGCATCTTGCTTCTTTCTTCATCCCAAATAAGCAAAAATAAAAAATTCAAAATACAGATTGAAAACTGATGGGTGACAGGGTGAGGACAACAGAGGCACACTGGTTGGTGCCTAGATGAGCGAGACTAGTTTGCACTGGCTATATGCTCATTGGTTAGCCACGTAGCCTTTACCACTTGGTTGTCTTCCAAATCACAAACTGACCTTTTGTCCTTACATCTTCACTATTTGATTTTGATTTTTGTGGGTTATAATTCTAGGACTTTATTTTTAATAATTCATATAAATTTGTGTAAATAAATTAATAAAGCTATCAAATAAACAATCTAATAATAATATCTTCGTTACCAATAAGGGTAAGTTTGTTGGATGGTGAAAGTTAACTTATATTAATAATTAATGGAAGATCAAGTTGGGGATGTTAGTGGAGTTTTCTAAAATTGAGAGGTTTGACTGTTATCCACTAAACCTCAGGTGAAGCAAATTACCCATTTAACTTATAAGAAGAAGGCTGTGATTATTGAAAAAAGCGCGTGTTAGCATCAACTCCGACGAATGGGTATAATAGTAAAACTAAAATCACAGAAATAAATTCAGGAGGGAGAAAATAGTAATTGGAGAAGAAATGGGTAAAAAGAGGACAAAGTGATTGACGTTATAAAAGAAACAAAACATTATTCTATTCTAAAATTTGATACAACAGAGTACGAGCATATAAGCGGGTGAGAGATAAGAAAGTAAGAATTGAGATCACATGCACATATGCACATGCATTCTCCTCGCTCAGAGCGCTCTCTCTGCACGATAATTGCTTGTCGCACAAGCCACTAGTAGCTTCTCTCACCCCACGCCAACCGCCCCCATTTTCCCACTCATTTTCCTGTCAATCGTCTTCTCCCATAATGGTACTTCTTCCCAATCCCAACCCTAACAGTTACCAACCGGAACTCAGCAATGACTCCATTGAAACGCCGCGTTTCAGTGAAGACTTGGACTCAACATGCTCCACGCCTTACGTTAGTGCTCCTTCAAGTCCCGGCCGTGGACCCGTCACTACTGGCTACTTCTTCAGTGCACCGGCTAGTCCCATGCATTTTGTCCTATCTTCGGCTTCTTCAGCTTCGCGTCATCCCTCCGAGTCATCCTTCTTATCGACTCAGTCCGACTTCGAGTTTGAGTTTTCTTCTCGGTTTTCGAGCAATGGTTTTGTAGCCGCTGGATCAATGAGCTCAGCTGATGAGCTGTTTTTGAACGGTCAGATTAGGCCCATGAAGCTTTCGTCTCACTTGCAGAGACCTCAGATCTTGGCTCCTCTTATAGATCTGGACGTTGAAGAAGACGAAATGGATGATAAAGACGCGGAAGAGTCGGTGAAAAGAGGGAGAGATCTTAAGCTTCGTAGTAGATCTCTCCACAGGAAGGCCAGATCTCTGTCGCCGTTAAGAAATCAAGAGTATCAGTGGCACGAAGAGGATATTAACGGTGACAGAGATATCAGTGAAAACATTATAGAGTTGCAAGAGTATGTGGAGAGAAAAGAGACTGAAGCTGTTTCAAGTGAAACGACACCGTCATGTTCTGCTTCTTCTTCAAGATCTTCATCTTCCGGTAGGAACTCGAAGAAATGGATATTTTTGAAAGACCTTTTGTATAGAAGCAAAAGTGAAGGAAGAGGAAATGGAAAGGAAAAGTTCTGGTCCTCCGTTTCTTTCTCTCCGAAGGATAGGAAACTCGCTTCTTCGTCTTTAACTCTTTCTAAAGAAGAGAACCCTCTTCCTCATATTAGTAGTAGTGTTGAAGTGCAAGAGAAGCAAAAGCAAAAGCAGAAACAGAAGCGAAATGAGAAAGGCTCCACTAGGAAAACGGTTAAAGGAAAACTGGCTAATGGGGTAGCCAAACGCAGAGTCCCGCCATCTCCACACGAGTTACATTACACGGCGAAGAGAGCTCAAGCTGAGGAGTTGAAGAAGAGGACTTACTTGCCGTACAGGCAAGGGCTGTTTGGTTGCTTAGGGTTTAGTTCAAAAGGATATGGTGCGCTCAATGGACTGGCCAAGACCCTCAACCCGGTCTCATCCAGGTAGTAATGCTACGGGATAGACTTTTTATCTTTTGTACATAGATTTTGGCTTCTCGTATTATTAAATTATGATTTTGATACAATGTTTCTGTATCTCCTGTATTTTTTTAAGATTTCTTAATGTTTTTGTCCAGCAGAGAGGCTATGTTAGAATCACTGTTTAGTGATTTTGCTTCTTGAGCTGATGAAATGGATGGGTTATTTGATCTTCCATTTGCTTATATTTTATCTTAATCTTCTTTTTATAATGTAGTTTCCGACCGCCGGTTAATTTACGGTATATGCGTATGTGTAAAGAATCTAAAGATGTCTTTATCCTTTGAGATAAGGTTAGGAAAATCTATGACTCTGGTTCATACCATGCTTTTATTTGGCGTGCAATGATTTGTTTTTAGGATTATCACTTGCCTTTTACTCTTCAGTATATTGGAGCCTTTTTGTTTATGGTTTCTGTAAGAACCTATCTCAAATTTTGTTTTCTTGTTTTTATTTGGTTGCCGAATACATTTTCCTTTTAGCTTTATATTAAAGAGGTTGAATTGCTCCATGATTGGTTTGTGGGAATGGTTAAAAGGATGTTTTGATGCCCCTTTTAAGTCAGCAAAATAAATCATCATGACCGTTCTCACACATCATTTACCAAAGTGAGGGCATAAATCTGATGACACAATTAGTGTTGATTGATATGAAAACTTTTGTAATTGAATCTCCCCGTCTTCAATTGCTAGAAATTAGCTGACGCACACATGGGTTTGCTTTTGTTAGGTGAGCTGTAAGTGTCGAGTATTATCCATGCTAAATTTGGATTGTTCAACCTGATTACCCACATGGGTGACTTGTGTCCTGTTAGGTATAGATCTGACACCTTGAAAGGATTTCTATGTGACCTTTTTGGGCGTTTCTTAATACTAATTTCTTTTTCTATGAATGGACTCGGTGTATGATTATAGGACCATTAGCCCATTAGATTTCTTCGAAATGTGAATTTGATCTGTAATTGTTTTAGTTTGTTTGGAAACAAAGAAAAACGGTCTAGCATTGTATTTGGTGCGTTGGACTGTCATGACATTTGGCATTTAGTCATGTGTATTAATTTCTATATATTTGGAATTGGCGAGAGGATTAAAGCTTGCTTTGGTAATGGTAGGTATATATGGCTTATTTGTTTGTTAGGTTTGGAAAGATTAGTATTAGATTAGACAATATTGCCATGAAAGTTTGTTTCCACAAGTTTGAGAGATGTTAAGAGTAAAATCATTAATGGGCCTACGATCAGGGAAGGTCCCCCACTGCATCTTTTTGCGCCCAAAAGTCCAACACGCAGCACTGATTTTTGCAGCTATAATTGCACTCTTCTGGTTACTTTAGTTTCTTATCCCCTACCCCAAGTCCTAGTGTAAGCTTTAAATTAATTTGACAGTAATAAATACGAAACTGATGGGTGACAGGGTGAGGACAACACAGGCACACTGGTGGGTGCCTAGATGAGCCAGACTAGTTTGCACGGGCTATATGCTCATTGGTTAGCCACTCAGCCTTTACCACTTGGTTGTCTTCCAAATCACAAACTGACCTCTTGTCCTCACATCCTCACTATTTGATTTTGATTTTTGTGGGTTATAATTCTAGGACTTTATTTTTAATAATTCATATAAATTTGTGTAAATAAATTAATAAAGCTATCAAATAAACAATCTCATAATAATATCTTCGTTACCAATAAGGGTAAGTTTGTTGGATGGTGAAAGTTAACTTATATTAATAATTAATGGAAGATCAAGTTGGGGATGTTAGTGGAGTTTTCTAAAATTGAGAGGTTTGACTGTTATCCACTAAACCTCAGGTGAAGCAAATTACCCATTTAACTTATAAGAAGAAGGCTGTGATTATTGAAAAAAGCGCGTGTTAGCATCAACTCCGACGAATGGGTATAATAGTAAAACTAAAATCACAGAAATAAATTCAGGAGGGAGAAAATAGTAATTGGAGAAGAAATGGGTAAAAAGAGGACAAAGTGATTGACGTTATAAAAGAAACAAAACATTATTCTATTCTAAAATTTGATACAACAGAGTACGAGCATATAAGCGGGTGAGAGATAAGAAAGTAAGAATTGAGATCACATGCACATATGCACATGCATTCTCCTCGCTCAGAGCGCTCTCTCTGCACGATAATTGCTTGTCGCACAAGCCACTAGTAGCTTCTCTCACCCCACGCCAACCGCCCCCATTTTCCCACTCATTTTCCTGTCAATCGTCTTCTCCCATAATGGTACTTCTTCCCAATCCCAACCCTAACAGTTACCAACCGGAACTCAGCAATGACTCCATTGAAACGCCGCGTTTCAGTGAAGACTTGGACTCAACATGCTCCACGCCTTACGTTAGTGCTCCTTCAAGTCCCGGCCGTGGACCCGTCACTACTGGCTACTTCTTCAGTGCACCGGCTAGTCCCATGCATTTTGTCCTATCTTCGGCTTCTTCAGCTTCGCGTCATCCCTCCGAGTCATCCTTCTTATCGACTCAGTCCGACTTCGAGTTTGAGTTTTCTTCTCGGTTTTCGAGCAATGGTTTTGTAGCCGCTGGATCAATGAGCTCAGCTGATGAGCTGTTTTTGAACGGTCAGATTAGGCCCATGAAGCTTTCGTCTCACTTGCAGAGACCTCAGATCTTGGCTCCTCTTATAGATCTGGACGTTGAAGAAGACGAAATGGATGATAAAGACGCGGAAGAGTCGGTGAAAAGAGGGAGAGATCTTAAGCTTCGTAGTAGATCTCTCCACAGGAAGGCCAGATCTCTGTCGCCGTTAAGAAATCAAGAGTATCAGTGGCACGAAGAGGATATTAACGGTGACAGAGATATCAGTGAAAACATTATAGAGTTGCAAGAGTATGTGGAGAGAAAAGAGACTGAAGCTGTTTCAAGTGAAACGACACCGTCATGTTCTGCTTCTTCTTCAAGATCTTCATCTTCCGGTAGGAACTCGAAGAAATGGATATTTTTGAAAGACCTTTTGTATAGAAGCAAAAGTGAAGGAAGAGGAAATGGAAAGGAAAAGTTCTGGTCCTCCGTTTCTTTCTCTCCGAAGGATAGGAAACTCGCTTCTTCGTCTTTAACTCTTTCTAAAGAAGAGAACCCTCTTCCTCATATTAGTAGTAGTGTTGAAGTGCAAGAGAAGCAAAAGCAAAAGCAGAAACAGAAGCGAAATGAGAAAGGCTCCACTAGGAAAACGGTTAAAGGAAAACTGGCTAATGGGGTAGCCAAACGCAGAGTCCCGCCATCTCCACACGAGTTACATTACACGGCGAAGAGAGCTCAAGCTGAGGAGTTGAAGAAGAGGACTTACTTGCCGTACAGGCAAGGGCTGTTTGGTTGCTTAGGGTTTAGTTCAAAAGGATATGGTGCGCTCAATGGACTGGCCAAGACCCTCAACCCGGTCTCATCCAGGTAGTAATGCTACGGGATAGACTTTTTATCTTTTGTACATAGATTTTGGCTTCTCGTATTATTAAATTATGATTTTGATACAATGTTTCTGTATCTCCTGTATTTTTTTAAGATTTCTTAATGTTTTTGTCCAGCAGAGAGGCTATGTTAGAATCACTGTTTAGTGATTTTGCTTCTTGAGCTGATGAAATGGATGGGTTATTTGATCTTCCATTTGCTTATATTTTATCTTAATCTTCTTTTTATAATGTAGTTTCCGACCGCCGGTTAATTTACGGTATATGCGTATGTGTAAAGAATCTAAAGATGTCTTTATCCTTTGAGATAAGGTTAGGAAAATCTATGACTCTGGTTCATACCATGCTTTTATTTGGCGTGCAATGATTTGTTTTTAGGATTATCACTTGCCTTTTACTCTTCAGTATATTGGAGCCTTTTTGTTTATGGTTTCTGTAAGAACCTATCTCAAATTTTGTTTTCTTGTTTTTATTTGGTTGCCGAATACATTTTCCTTTTAGCTTTATATTAAAGAGGTTGAATTGCTCCATGATTGGTTTGTGGGAATGGTTAAAAGGATGTTTTGATGCCCCTTTTAAGTCAGCAAAATAAATCATCATGACCGTTCTCACACATCATTTACCAAAGTGAGGGCATAAATCTGATGACACAATTAGTGTTGATTGATATGAAAACTTTTGTAATTGAATCTCCCCGTCTTCAATTGCTAGAAATTAGCTGACGCACACATGGGTTTGCTTTTGTTAGGTGAGCTGTAAGTGTCGAGTATTATCCATGCTAAATTTGGATTGTTCAACCTGATTACCCACATGGGTGACTTGTGTCCTGTTAGGTATAGATCTGACACCTTGAAAGGATTTCTATGTGACCTTTTTGGGCGTTTCTTAATACTAATTTCTTTTTCTATGAATGGACTCGGTGTATGATGATAGGACCATTAGCCCATTAGATTTCTTCGAAATGTGAATTTGATCTGTAATTGTTTTAGTTTGTTTGGAAACAAAGAAAAACGGTCTAGCATTGTATTTGGTGCGTTGGACTGTCATGACATTTGGCATTTAGTCATGTGTATTAATTTCTATATATTTGGAATTGGCGAGAGGATTAAAGCTTGCTTTGGTAATGGTAGGTATATATGGCTTATTTGTTTGTTAGGTTTGGAAAGATTAGTATTAGATTAGACAATATTGCCATGAAAGTTTGTTTCCAGAAGTTTGAGAGATGTTAGAGTAAAGTCATTAATGGGCCTACGATCAGGGAAGGTCCCCCGCTACATCTTTTTGCGCCCAAAAGTCCAACACGCAGCACTGATTTTTGCAGCTATAATTGCACTCTTCTGGTAACTTTAGTTTCTTATCCCCTACCCCAAGTCCTAGTGTAAGCTTTAAATTAATTTGACAGTAATAAAACATATGAATACAGCCGACTGTTATTGGGTAGACCTAGATGAGTTTATTTTGCATCATTTAAAGGCGGTAAGTTGGATGAACTCTCAGAAATGTGGGTTGTGGTGTTCAGCCCAGCCTTGTTGTGGTCCACAGGTACTCAGCATTGGATCTTGATTGATTTAAGCCTTTGTTTTTGTTTTGGAATGTCACGATTGCGTAAATACACATTTTTCAATGCGATGACTTTCTATTTCATTTCATCAAACTTCAGTTTCTGATTGAAAATTATGTACCTCCATGGACACAATAGCCATGGTCTTTCTCTTAGTTTGAATGGCTAATTAACTTTTGACTTCTACCAAATATATAATACCAATATCGTTACAGACTGAGTTGAAGTCAGAACGGGTCTTATCATCGTAACTCATATCAGCTTAGTGAATTTTGAAGGGTTCGTCGTTTTTAATGAGGACAAATCAGTAGTACATTGCGAGCTTCGNCTTCAGTTTCTGATTGAAAATTATGTACCTCCATGGACACAACATTACCCAATAGCCATGGTCTTTCTCTTAATTTGAATGACTGATTAACTTTTGACTTGTACCAGATAAATAATACCAACATCGTTACAGACTTAGTTGAAGTCAGAACGGGCCTTATCATCGTAACTCAAATCAGCTTAGTGATTTTGAAGGATTCGTCGTTTTTAATGAGGACAAATCAGTAGTACATTGAGAGCTTCGAAGTTCAGCATTGTTTTGATTGACGTTGAGTGTGGGCATTGTTTATTTAATTAATCTAAATATTTGTATACGGATTAGTCGCGGCATCTTTTGAGATTGATTGACGTGACACCTGTGCTTGATCCATATCCAATGGGTCAAATTTGCTCCACTTAATTTGATTTTTCGCTTTGTTACTTACTGTGTAAGGCTCAGCTTTACTCGTACTTATGTTAATATTCATTTTTTAAAAGAATACCAGAATCCCATTCTAAAATATTCAAATATTTTTTAATCATATAGGTGGGTCGGGTTAAGTGTTTGATAATAAACCATGTTAAATTTGTGCAAATAATTTAAGTTTCTCTTATATGGCCAATGGTATATTAAATGTATGCAAAAACAAATTTCATACGCAATGTTATAAAAGTTAAAGTTCAATGCCGTTCCGCGCAATACAATTACAGTACGAGTAAAGCGACATCGTTTTATTCCTGGTGCCTTTTATATTTTTTTTTTAGAATTGTGAGAATGTCCCTGAGCCTGAGGTGGAGAAAGAACGCAAGATCACGCCTGGAGCGATTCCACCAATACAACGAAACAGCAAAACATCTCTCTCCTTTTTCTCGTGGGTCACAAAACACAGAACAGAAGAACGCAAGTTACAAACCAGAATATAAGAGATATATATTCGTGTCTCCATAGTGGAGATTTGTTAAGTATTTTTGTTAATTGATTTAATTAAATTGAAATGAGATTAAAGTAATTGAAAATGGGTTCAGAATCGAACTCGACTACTACGTCAACATCAGTATCAACATCATCTCCTAGCTCAAGCGGAAAGCGAAGTAGAGATCCAGAGGATGAAGTTTATCTCGACAATCTTCACTCTCACAAGCGTTACCTCAGTGAGGTTTGTGCCTTTCTTTTCCTAATTTTCAATTTCTCATAGGGTTTCTTTCATTTATTAATTCTGGGTTATCATATGATTTGCATTTCTACTCTTTAAATTTTTAACTTTTGGCTGTGGATATTTTGTCTCAAATTTTCTTTATTTTTTGACTGGATTGGTGGTTTCAGATTTCTATTTAGTTTATCTTTCAGTTAAAATGTATTTATTGAGGAAATTTTATTTGTGCAGATAATGGCTTCCAGCTTAAATGGATTAACTGTTGGAGACTCACTCTCAGAGAATCTCATGGAATCTCCAGCCAGGTATGATAGCTATCTTACTTAATCTTATGTTGCAGCTAATTGATAAAAATGAAAACCACTAATTAGGAAGGTGGGTTTGATTGGCTTGTTGTGCTAGAAACGCAAACCTCGCTTCGGTTGTGGAGAAAAAAAAATCAATTTACTCATGTATATGTCAATAGGCTGAGAGACGTTTTCCTTGAAGCATATAACTCAAATAAGCTGAGTCTTACATGATAATGACACCTCACATACTGCTTTCAATAAGTTTAGGGGGTTGGCAAGAATGGAATCATGATACGTACATTCTTTTTTCCTCATCTTACTTCCTATGTTTCATGGAATTGCTTGTCTATGAAATGTGGGTATGGGCTCTAGTATCTGATTATTTGCTATGAGATTTCACATTTTGGAGTGTCCAGTGGCCCTATGCTGTCTTGAGAAAGGTATGAAGTGAAGTTTTGGGGTGATGTAGGGAAGCTTTTTGTTGTACTGGTTATTAACTTTCAATATGTAGGATGCTATAATTCATTTTTCCTGGTTATATAGACCCTAAACAAACACTTAATTGATGAGTCTAATTAAGGGAAAAAATTCTGAGAGATAAAGTTATAGGAATACTATCATTTCAGATTTCTTTAACATACATATGTGCTAGCAAATCGTGTATTAGTTTTTGTTTAGCTTTAATGTTTGCATGTGATATTTGTTGCGACCTCACCTATGATGAAAATGGATTAAGTCTTGGTTTATAAGATAACATTATCCAGTATACTAGTACTGTGGTAATTGTAAAGTATATGACCGGTAACAAGTGGTGTTAGAGCAAACCAAGGCTCTCATCATTCATGATTGAGTGAAGGGGAATATTGCTATTCTACTTACCAAAGAAATGAATTGGATCTTGCATTTATAACAGGGGGTAGGCAACATCTTCTAATCGATTAATAGTGAGCGACCAGTCCATGACAATTCACTTTGTTATCCTTGATGATTTTTATGAATAGTTAGCTCTAAAAGAAGCTAAGTCACTCAAACCAGAACTTGTTCATTTGCAAATGAATTGATCTGAACCAATTTTGATAATGAGCCAAGTTCAAATCTGTGGTTTATTTGCTCCCTATATACATAGACATAACCATGCTAATAGTGAGCAACACTTAGCTATATTCTGTTTTCTGAAGACAACTTCTTTCTGCCTATCTTCAGCAATAATTCTTGTATTACTAAGTTGAGTCCTGCCATTATACTCATTTTGATTATGATTTTCTGAATTGTATGTATCCAGGGATGAACTTTCCATGCAGTATTCACCAATGTCTGAAGATTCTGATGACTCAAGATTTTGCGAGGCCCATATACACACTTTCTTATCCCAGAGTGATAGCCTGCCCACTAGTCCAGTCTCTCCGTACAGGTACCAAAGGCCACTCAGTGGGTTCTGTTCTGCTCCTTCCACCAGTTCATATCCTTCACATAGCTGTACTGTCAGTGGCTCACAGCCACGTCAACGAGGCTCGGATTCTGAGGGCCGCTTCCCATCATCACCTAGTGATATATGCCACTCAGCTGACTTGAGGAGAGCTGCGCTCTTGAGGTCTGTGCAGATGAGAACACAACCTCCTGGCATGCCATCTTTTGAACAGGAACCTGTTGAAGAGCGACCATGCTCATATATCAAATCTTTAGTTGATGAGAGGGAGTATCAGATTGAGGAGTGTTCTTCGCTGCATATGTCAGAGCCTGAATTTAGTCAGGAGAAGTCATGTAGAGTGTTGAACATGAATATGAAAGGGGATGAGTCTCGGGGTTAAATGCTTCAGGAAGCAAATTCTTCAAAACTGGTGCTAACCCTCATTTTGTGAGTTTTTGTTTTTGTTTTTGGTTTTTTTTTTTTTTTTAGGAGCAGGTGGATGGCAGCACCCAGTGATTTTTTTATTATTATTATTTTGGTTCGTTCTTGTAACCTACGGCTTTCATCAGTGTCTCTCTATTGCACAGAATATAGAAAAGGCTATAGACAGGCGACACTTGTTTCCTCAGTAATTTGTTGATGTTGAGCTTCTAAGTTCTAACCTGACCAATTTTAACGTTTTTTATGTTGTAAATCGATGATGTATATTTTCGACATTTGCTATAATGATATTTTTTTCCCTGTATTCTCTTATCTTTTTTTTAGTTCTGCACTTCTGCAATAAATCTGAGAAAATTAAATGTATATACTACAGTATGAGTGCACCCGTCAGAACTCAGAAGTCATAGGATCCGAAGGAATTTTGTTGGTAAATAATTTTGAGAATGGCAATATTTCCATAAATAATGCAGTCGAAAGTGTCAAATAATTTGCTCTTTGATAGTCTTCTTTGGTCTTACTCTGGCTACTAATCTTGTTTCGGCCTTTGTTATTATCTTTAAGAAACTAGATTGCATTATAGACTGATACTTTAGAGACAGGTTCAGGATCTATGTACAGCTACTTGAGAAAAAAATAAAACTTTATATGCACTCTAAAAAGTAAAAACTATTCATACCGACCCTTTTTTTGTGTGCATTTTTCTAAAATTTCTAAAATTATATTTTTATAATAGAAATAAAAAAACAAATCAGTAAAATAGTTGATGATGTAACTGAATAAAAATATAACATTAATGAAAAACACTTCTAAAATTAAGTATTATTTTGCACAATTAACAAAAAAAAGAGCGTAAAGTGTATTTTTTAGTATAAATAACCTCACCCAAATTTAAGGGAAAAAAAAAAAAGAGCGTAAACCATCATAAGTTCTCCTACCTCGAATCACCTAATAAGGTGACATCATCAATTTATTTTAACAAAAAATAAAAAAGTTGTCCACCCATATCCATTATCCATCATCAAAAAGAAACAAAGTCATGCAATAAGCAGGTAATTGCGTGTAGAAAACATACTTCATCTAAAAATTGAAATTGTGTAAACAAAAGTAGCATAGAATGAAGACACTAACTACTTCTCTCAATAAAGGTATCCGCTTTTCAGTACTGCACACATGTGCTCATTTAATAAATTCAAGGCCTACAGATCATGACCGTTAAAACAAGCGCTGCTCAAATATATTAATGGTAACATCAGGTGGCACCTCCATCAAGCAGATTAAAATTAACCCCAAACCTATGTGAGAAGACGGTAATACAATGATCCACTTAATCAAGCAAATGCTGATAGAATATTTTTCTTCAGGGTGAATTCGTCTGCCTTTGCTGGGCTGATCGACTGCACCAGAATAAAAAAATAAAAAAAACACATGATCTCAACATTATTTCAATAATCTTGAAGGTTTTATTTCAGAATAGCACTTAATCCTCCACATCTTAACAGTGTTCTCCTGATACCATAACCATCTAAAAACTTCACAATCAGATGTTAAAGAGTATTATATCCCTATAATACCAAATGCAATAAGTAGGATGGTATTTCTCCTGCCAGAAAAAGCTTTAATATACAATATTAAAGTATGTGCTTGCTGAGATAACAGTCAATATTCTCACCTTCTCAAGAATGCGCTGAAGCCTGTCAATCTCATTGTTGGCATACTCAGAACCCTTGTCCATATAACTCTTTGCAACTTTCAAGTAAATCTTTCCATACCTAGAAACAGGAAACAGAATAACTTATATCTAGTCTCCCAGCGCTTTATCAGAAAGAAGTCTAATTTTGAGCAAAGAGTAAGGATAGGATACATATTGTAAGTAACAATATAATAGAGAACATAACAATCCTGACACATAAGAGTCCATCAATTATGAACTAAAAGACAAGACTGAATACTAGATGTATACAATAATATAAGACAAGTACCTTGCAGTGGAACCCTGTAGCTTTCCAACTTCCTCTTCTATCTTGGCAAAAACTGCCTTCTTCTTATCACTGCTGGCAGCTACAAACTCCTTTATCAAGGCATCCAGGTGTGCAACTATACCAGCCTATTTGAAAATTCTAAAAATCAATATACGAGTAAATGATAACAAAAAACTATCATAGTCATTTAAATCAGGAGTTACTAACATTTGATGTAAATTGTCCTTTTCCATCTCGGCTGGTACCACACTTCCCGTTGATGAAAGAGACAAAGTCATCTAAATCTCTGCCACCCTCATAATCTTCACCAGCTTTGTTGCTCCGGGGGAAGAATTTCAATGTAGGATACCCACTTACTCCATACCTGCGCATAGAGAAATAGTCTCAATTTAGACATCTTTAATGTTGGGAAAGCATATTTGAGGCTAAATGAGCATATAAAATTATAAATTAAGTTTCCACTTACTTTTCTGCCAGATCCTTGTACTTGTCAGCATCCAGATTAGCAATAACCACATCTTCTTCCATTTTAAATGCTGTGGCCACCTTTTCATATGTCTGGAGCAAAACAACCGGACAGTACAAATGGTTAATGAGACAGAAGCAACAGAGAACACTTATCTAAGTAAATAGGTAACCCATACTTACAGGAGCAAGACTTTTGCAATGGCCACACCTGAAAAAGGTAAAATCCAGAAACCATTTAATACAAAGCACAGCCATGTGGGGACAAGAACAAAAAAGAACAAGATAAAACAAAACCCATGTCCATGAAGGTTTCAAGACCAAGAGGGCATTAATAAAATACAAAAAGATTATAGAGAGAGCCCCACTACTCACCAAGGTGCATAAAACTCAACCAAAACATCTTTGGACTCGTCCAAGACTACCGCGTCAAAGTTATCAGTTGTTAGCACCACCACATTGGATGGAACGGCAGCTATCTTCACATTGGTCCCTGTAAATAATTTAAATGATTAAGACACACTATACATAATTTTTTTGCATATAAAACCATGCAAGGTGCAGATGGGGAAGGTCAGCACCAAAAGATGGCTGGGTGCTTACACTAAATACAAACATATCAATACAGTCCTTCTAGTATCATACCTTCCCCTATAAAAGAAAACTACTTTTTCCACAATTTTTACATTGTCTAATATTATGGAAGAGAAGTCGAAAGGACTACACTTGTCGATAAACGAGCTAACCGGTTATGATTTTAGTTGATTAACATATTTGTAAAAGGGAATTTTGCTGACATTACCTCCTTCATTATTCACAAACTCGGCAAGAGATTCTGCTGTACGTGGCCCTTCATACCTGCAAAGTTCAAAATTTAATGTACTCAGCAGACACAGATGCAGATTTAAAAGGAAATAAAGAATTGAATTAAAAATGACGTGAACTTTATTGGACTCCACTCACTTTTTGGGTTCCAAAGATCCTTTAGGAAACCATTGAATTGTTGGGTATCCTGAAACCCCATACTTGCTGCATACGCTCTTCTGCTCATCACAATCCACCTACACCACCACATAAACATATAGAATGTCAAGAAAGAACAAATGAGTTTCTAATAAATAAGGAAGCGACAAGAAGTTAAAGTTTTAAGTTAAGCTAAGAATACTATGAAACAATGTTCAAGAAAAGAAAAATTAAAAGACAGCCAAACAAATAGGAGCAGGCAATTGTTGATGAGCTCACCTTTCCAATCAGAACAGACTTAGCTTTCTTAAAGCTTGCGCCGAGCTTCTCATACTCGGGAGCAAGCTTTTTACAGTGCCCACACCTGTCACAGTAAACACAAAACATATTCAGGAATTTAATCTTAGGTTGGACAACTGCCTTTCAGAATCCAGCATAAAGAATTACAGAAGCTTCAAGAAAAACATCTCGGAAACCTTGATAACATTCTACAAAAAGAAAAACATCACTTTAGGAACTCTTGGGAATGTTTTAGCTTGTTTCCTATTGAACAAGCTCCCTCTTGCTGATCATAGCATCCCTTAAAGTTGAAAGACGAGATTTGAAACAGAGAAAAGTACTGAATTGTTCAATATCTAGATGCTGAGGGAAATAGTTTATCTCCAGCATCAACAAGATTTGAAGAAAAATACACAATAACTCCTGATAGATCATTGATTTATCTTTTCTCGCTAACCTTAAACTGCACCAACAATATGAACAAAATCATTTTTCTCAGTTTTGTATGATCTTTCTTTTCACCTAATCTGCTTTTCGCATTCAGTCACTCGCAAATTTAACCGATATGCAAAAATCTAAATAATATTAAATTTGGAGACACACGACATTACACGATGCCTATCGATCGTTCATTAAACAAAGACCAGTATGACACTACTAGTTATAACAACAAATCAAAAGTGAAAATCCACCACAAAAACAGATCTGCATAATAAAAAATAACGATCGGCACTAAATGCCATAGTGACGGTAAAAGCGATGATTCAAGAAAGAGTAATAGGCCTACCAAGGAGCATAGAACTCAACGAGCACTCCTCTGTCTTGACCAACCTCCTTATCGAAGTTGTCCTCTGTTAGCACAACGACATCGTCAGCTAGAGCTGATACGAACAGCAAGGTTAGAGTCCCTAAGGCTAACAAGATCTGATTCTTCTACATTTCTCTCTTTGTTTGATTAGTTGCACGAGTAATTGTTTTCAGCTTAATTCGAACTTTATATGTGAGGTCTTTGTTTTCAATGGTTTGGTTAAAATTTTAAAAAGGAAAAGAAAAAAAAAAGAAAAAAACAAAAATTTTTTCATGCGCACGACCTTAATCTGGCTGATGTGGCGTTCTACAATTTGTTGATGAGACGTGGAAGTTTGAGGGTACTGTGGGTTCGTTGTCTTTCACTGACGATTGACACCTATGGGGACGGTTCCTCTGCCTTTGTGAAGGTGAGCCTGACGTGTTCGTTACCACGTGTCGAATTACGAGACGCAAAACAACCGTTGACTCAGTATTTCTTTTTTTTTTTTTTTTCCCCTGAAAATCAGATAAGATTTGTCAAAGCCCAACTAGTCTTGGGCTATACAAACTAGTATTTACCTTGGTTTGGGCCCTGGCTCATAGCCACGTGTATCTCCCAAATTCAGCGAACGTTTTTGTATAAGCAAATAATATAAATATAGCAATGCTAGATTTTCCAATTAAGTATTTTGAATCTGTGATTCTGCGATATTAATTTCCTTATTTATTTTGTTACTTAATCATACTTATTAATTGTAAACCAAATCAACATTACTCGAATTTGAAAGTTGGGATTAAACTTAGGAATAGTTTTATTCAAAAACTTTCCAATGCCCCAATGAAGTTATCCATCCCACACCTTCAGATGCCTTAGCTTCTTTGAGTTGTTAATTGAAAACAAAGCTTGAGTTTGGGATTTTCCGTATTTTCAGGTAATAGCATAACGGATTGTTAATTTGTTGAATCATGAATCTGGAAAGATTTTATGGACAAGCAAGTAGACAACAGTAGTGTGCAAGTAAAGTTGAAAACTAATTAACGTGAAGGACGTGGGTGATGTTGTAAACAAAACACCTTCTCCTCGTTTAAGACAAGAAATTGGTTAGGGATTGACCAAGTAATTTAAAATCACTTCTTAAACAAAAATGAGTTTCATAGTAGCCACTCAAAGTACCATAAAATGATTTTTTGATTGGGAGGAGTGGCGCATAAGTTTATGTCACTTTTCTTTTAATTCTTTAACCAGGATTTGCTGCTTTCGTTGGTTATTAACCAGACTGAAGCGTAGATTAGAGCTCCTTTGGACAAGCCACACATACCTCAATTGAAGCATCCATGGGCTTGTTAAATTGGTAATTTCTTAGAATTTTGTCCACTTTCAAGTTTAAAGCTTTCCTTTTCGTAGACCATTAACCTGGATTTTAGTTGAGGCCTGCTAGTATGAACTATGAAGTACCGGTTGATGTAGTCCAAGATAAAACTACTGTACAATACCGTCGGTATAATACTTGAATATGAGATCCATATTGAAGTTAATTTGGAAAATTTGTCGTTTCGAAACAGCTACCAAGTCGGGTCCACGTTGATCCTTTTTCGGTGTGTAGCTAGATATAGAATAATACTACACATACATCATTCTCATATAACATTATGTGGTAAGATGTGATTGGGTGAAAGTTTAATTTTAACTTTAAATTAGCCAATCATATCTTGTCACATAATATTGTATGGAAAATGTTATATGAAAATGATGTATGTATAGTATAACTCCTAGATATATGGTAAAAGGTCAACAATACTTGTAGTTATCACATTAAAATTTGTGTTAATTGATTCGATAATATTGTATTAATTATGAATTTAGTTATACGAGTGTGGACAAATATGTCCCAAACAAGTCGACTTAGACATATTTTCAATTAATTCAACCCCATATTAATATCAATGACAATGGACTGTATTGCATTCATTATAAAGTGACTTTTTAAAAGTTTAAATAACAATAATTTCATTAGCATTAAAATAGAATATTTTTTGTTGTTATGCCTAAAAAAATCAGAGACCAATAAGAGTTTAGGAAGACATTATGTCGTTCAGACACTACCACATCGTCTAAGGACATAAGAAGTAAGGTTATCATCAGCTTGGCAGGTAAAGGCCTGGCGGGTGAGTGGTTGGGAGTCACCCACCTGCCCAAGCCCTGCACGATTTAAAGATATCTTCCGTGCAACCAGCCAATAGGAAGCAGGGTAGGAACTATACGACACCTGCCCGCTGGCAGATCCGTAATCATTACCCAGAAACCTCTTACTATAAATAAAGAGCTCCTCCCTCATTTTTGGGGATTTTAACTCTGATAATATAAACTCTCTTTCTCTCCCTCTCTGTATTTCTATTCTCTCTTATCGCTACATGCGACCTAATTATAATCTTTCATAAATAAAAAGACAGTAGATGTATGATTTGTTTTGAGCATCCAAACCACTTTAAAACTCATCTCCCTTTTATTTATTTCATTTTCCAGTTCACGTGTAATTTCTAAGTCCGCTTAGCACTTTGCACGTGTGAATAGTTGATGTCAAAATCGAGCATCAATAGTTTGGCGCTAGAAGGAGAGACTGATTTAGCATCCGCTCTTCATCAGGAATCTCTAATCAATCAAGTCTGTTCGCTAGAAAATCGCCCATGGTTTCAAAACCGAGCGAACTAGCCCCAGCAACGAGGAGGTCCCCTGGGTAGAGGATGACACTTCTCCTAAAATGCCCTCGATTCAACATAGTACCGCGGCAGACATTCCTTCGAGCTCACAGCTCGACCCAGCTGTGATGGATTACTTAGAGAGGTTCAATAATACTCTACAAACGGTTAACTGAAGGTTAGACCGTTTGGATCAGGTCATACCACCTGAGTCCGACAAGGCGGTGCCACTGCAAAAAATGCTTGTAGGTCGTGCTAAAGCACAAAAACGGGAAACAGTTCGACAATGAGGAATTCAAGCAGTTTTGCGACGAGCTGATGATTCATAAAAAGTTTGCCTTAGTAGCAAGACCACAAGCCAATGGTCAGATTAAAGTTGTCAACAAGACTATTAAGCACACATTGAAGGCCAAGCTTGGTGCAGCCAAGAGTAATTAGGCTGATGACCTCCCAGAAGTCTTATGGGCATATAGGACAACTTTGATAACCTCTACTTCAAAAACACCTTTCTCGTTAGCGTATGGCTACGAGGCGATGATTCCAGTGGAAGTAGAAACTGGTTCACTTCGGAGGAATTTTTTAATGAGGCAGACAATGAAACACTCTTGCGTGCAAGTTTGGACTTGGCTGAAGAACACCGCGACAAAGCTCAATTAAGGATAGCTTCCTACCAGCAGTAGGTAGGCATGGCAATGTTCCCCGAAATTCTAGGGACCCGTCCCACCCTCCTCTATATGGGGCGAGGAAGCCCCGATTTTTTCAAGGATAGGGGCGTGGGTGGGGGGGGGGGTTTTAATCCCTATCCTCGGGGATGGGCCAGGGTGGGTGATGCCTTTCCCCTGCTCCACCCTGTGTATAATATATAAACCCATATTTTCCCAATTTCCCTCACCCTAAACAATTGAACAAGAACAAACCCTAACCCATATTTATGTAAAATTCCATATGTTTAAACGATTAATTGAAGTGTTTGTTATGTGAACATGAATTAACTATTGTGTTTGGTAATGCTCAAATTAATTTATGTTTATGTAAAATTAACGAGGCAGGGACGGGCCTCCAACATTCCCGTTTGGGGCAGGGAAGGGGAATTCCTGTCATCCCCATAACAGGGATAGGGCGGGGGTGGGGATGGGTACGGTGAATGAGATCCCCGGCCCACCCAGCCCCACCCCATTGCCATATCTAGCAACGGGCAAAAAGATTCTTCGACTCTAAGGTCAGGAGAAGAGACTTTCAGGTTGGCGACCTCGTTCTAAATGAAGTCCTTCTTGGTACAAGGGAACCGAGTGTGGGGGTAATAGGACCCAACTAGGAAGGTCTACACCACCTCGCAAAGGTAATACGACTTGGGACGTATCACTTTAAAAGGCTTAACGACTCCGAAGTACACGAGCTTGGAATGCTGAACATCTTCGCCTCTATTATCAGTAATTTTGAACTAGCTTACAGCTTTGATTATTTCTTTTTACTTGTAAAATTTTCCTTCTTGTAAGTTTTGTGAATAAGATTGTTCCGCTTCTTCTCAAAGAAAAACTTGTGTTGTGATCTCAAGTCTTTTGTTAATAATCTTGTTCTTTATAACATTTTGCAAGTTCAATGGTCAGATAAGTCATATTTGTTTTGTGAAGTGCTTAAGTTATAAAAGTGTTATCACAAGTGACCAAGAGTTCCTTTTATATATTGAAAAAATATGTATAAGAGGCGACAAGGAGTTACAAAAGCTAAAAAGCTAGGAAAACTACAAGGACAAAAAAAAGAGCGATCATTGGTCTTCATTTCCAAGCTCCCTAAGCGCAAGCTCCCAATCCTCTGGATGATCATCAGCCTCCGGATCATCCGCCCGATCTTCGGGAATGTTCAACTAATCATCTTCCGGAGGAGGTTCTTGTTCCTTCTTCTGCTTGGCCTCTTCAGCCTAAAACATGAAAACAAGGATGGACTGGTATTTGTTCGAAAGGTCAAAGATGTTCATCTCTAGGTTCCTTGGCTGCAAGCTATAAATGGCTTGTATTGCCCAGTAAGTAACCATCCTCTCGAGCTCGAGGTTTTGTTGCTTCATCTGCTTGGTCAATGAAGCGGCTTGCCCTTGAGACAACTCGAGGTATGCCTCTATTGCCTTCTGCTGCTTCTCAAAGTTCTCCCACAGTTGAGCCCGACTTTCCTCCGCAGTCTTCGCGTGATCGATGCTCGCCTTCAGCAATTTCTCTTTATCGCTCAACTCCTTGGTAAGTCTTGCCATCATCCGTTGGAGCTCCTTGTTATCCTCGTCTCTCTTTTCAAGCTTGACCTTCTAAAAGTTTACAGCCTGAAGTGCAGAATTTCTCTCTATCAGGTACTGATCCGCCTGGATACGAGCTGCTTTAGCCTCGGCATCCATGGCTGCAAGTCCTGCTTCAGCTTGGCATTCTCCTCTTTCAGCTCATAGAGACTATCGATAGAGTCCATATTGATCTTCTGTTGGGCCACGGTCAAGGCAAGCAGGGACTACATGGGAAAAGAGACAAAAGTTAGTTTCCTCTTCTCAAAACCATAAAAAGCTAAGAAAGTTCTCGAAGAGAACCGGTTGTTTTACCTGACTGTGCAGTTGGAGCGCGGTAGACACTAGGTCGGTAGGTCGGGAAGCCACAAACTCCTCAAAGGCTGAGGGAAGCTGGCATTCCAGTAGGGTGTACATTACCGGTTGTAAGTGCTCCGATAGTTGCCCTAACGAATCTAGCAAAAACAGGTCCGGCCCAAGGGGACGGGTAAATCCTCGACCTGTTGCTTGCTTGCTCTCTTCTGGGCAACCGTGGTCGCTCCTGCTCCCTTGCTCGAGCTCCCAATGGCAGCCGAAGTGCCAGGGGGGCCCATCAAGGGCACTTCTGAGAGAGTGACGAGGTAAGGTTGAGTTATCTCCAGCATCACTCCGAAGCCCTCTGGTTTCGACTCCATTTCCTCCTTGACGATCAGTTGTTTCCTTTTCTTGGTCTTGTGGCCCATAGTTTTCTGTTTCGTGGCACGAGTAGCCACGGGCCAAGGACCTTCTTCGCGTCGCTCCGTGGGTGGTCGCCTTTCGGCACCGATATGTATTTCTCATGTGGGGATGGCACTGGGAGTCACTTTGGATGGCTTAGTCGAGTTGACCTGGGGGAATACAAACCCCCCAGCCTTTATAGGTGGCTTCATAACCCTTGGTGGCATGGTTGCTGCACGCCATGAAAATGTGTTAGCAAAAAAGTCATCTTTGGTACAAGGTTAAAAGTTCTTCTGGATACAAAGATACTTACGGGCTGGAGCTTCCAAAGATGCCTCGAGCTGAAGAATCCGTACTTTCGCAAGTTAGCAGTGGTCAAAAGCAGTTTTGCATCGCGACTCTGATCGAGTAAACGACCAAATGCCACGATACAGCTGAAATCTGCTAGATCTGATAACCTGGTCGTCTTGTTCTCTGCAAAAAAGAAAAATTTCATTAGTCTTAACTACCAAAAGAGAGTTAAAGGAAAGGATAGTCAGTTTGGAAAACAAAAGGGAAAACCTATTCGGCTCCCTAAATTTACAAATGTCATCATACTCGAAGAAGAAATATTTGGTGTCATAAGCCCCAACGTTGCTGAGGTAACCAAATATCACTCATTCGATCGTAGATCGCTTCGAGAGATAGAAGTAATCATTGTCCTTGCTTTTCTTTAAGTAGTAAGTGCATGCGAGTTCCAATGCTATTAACTCATCGAGTTCGTGTTCGCAGTATGTGATATACATAGCAATCGCTATCATATACGCATTGGGCGTCAGTTGGAATGGCGAGACCTCGAAGTGGTCGAGGATCGTTTTGATGAACGGGTGAAAAGGTATTGTCACCCTGCATTTGAAGATTGCCTCTGAGATCATAGCCATTCCCTTTAGAAGGTCCTGAGCGATGTGCGACCTATGCTGGTAGACGTTTACGTTGATCACAAACTGGTCTACTGCCTTTTGAATCTCATCCGTAGTGGCTGCTGATAGCATGTGCGAGACCCGCCGAGGTGCTTGGGGGCTGCGAGTTGGTTCCAGCAGCTGCTCTCATCTCCAAAGCGTCAATTGCTCCAAAAGTCTGAAAAGGTGCGACACGAAAATGTGACTTAGTCTCCGTACGCAGTGTTTCGTACGACAACTTGAAAGAGTAAAAAAAAACCCTTATTTTCCTTCCATAGCCCCTAAAAACCCTAAACATTCTTGAGAATGAGTTCCCAAGGATATGTGCCATAGGTTTTCGATTCTTAAGAGTGTTCCTTTTTGAACACTACCCAAGAATGTGCATCATGTGAAGTTTACCAGGCGTTCAAACCCACCATTACTGTGAAAAAACCGAGTTTTTAACAAGAATGAAAAGAAGAAAGGGAAGAGTATTCCTTACCTCTTGATTGATGGGGATGAACGTTATGTAATAGCGGCGAGTGCGCATCAACCGGAAAAAGGATGAACTGGTTTTTTTAGTGCAAAAAACTCTGTTTTTTCTCTTTGAAGATTTGAGTTATGTGAAAACCATGAAGTGGGGTCAGGGTTTTATAGGGAAGAATGCGACGTTTGGTTTCCTTTGCAAGCGATATTTAGGCAGGACACGTTTCTAGCCGTTGGATGCAACCACGTGTCGCCAATCCTCATGAAGGTAACCTTCACGCTTCGTGAAGATCAATTGACGTTTCCTTTCTTTTGAGACACCAAACGTTGGCATAGTTATCTTCACCACATTGAATGCGCCCTCATCCGCATTTAATTTTTTAAAAGAGAATGTCGTTTCAGCATGGCTTGCATTTAATGCTCATGGTTAACACTTATTGCGCAAAGACACATTTGTCAGATAAATCTTACTTTATTGATCAGGCTGGCTATCAGGCGCAATGGATAACATCTAAAGAGGTCATTCGAATAAAACACTCTTCTCTGCGTACTGAGCTCGAAACGAAGTGACCTCCGATTTTCGGTAATAATTTTCTAAGTGTTTTCAGGTCGAGAGCGATAGGCAAAGTTCGAAGCATGTTGGTATAGCACTGAGCAAGATCTGACCCCAGGTCGCTGAACCATAGAGGATGATCATCTCAGGTTGCTTGTGAAGTTTGCCAAGCCCACATCACGACCTACACTCAGGTCACTGGTCGACTAAAATCGGGAACTTCATGTTATTTCAATAGTTCTCCACTTGCAGCTCAAGCAAGTGATCCTCTGGATGAGTCAAATCACAGCATAATCATGAAGTTCTCAAAGTTCAAGCCTTGAACCTTAAGAACTGGGGGGCTTCTATTATGCCTAAAAAATCAAGGCTGACATGGGCTTACGTCAACAAGGACCAATCAAAGTTCAGGAAGACATTGTGTCGTACAGGCACTGCCACATCGTCTAAGGACAAAAGAAGTAAGGTTGTCATCAGCTTGGCAGGTAAAGGCCTAACGGGTGAGTGGCTAGGAGTCACCCACTTGCCCAAGCCCTGCGCAATTTAAGGATATCTTCCGTGCAATCGGCCAATAGGAAACAGGGTAGGAACTGTACAACATGTGCCCGCTGGCAGATCCGTAATCATTACCCAGAAACCTCTTATTATAAATAGAGAGCTCCTCTCTCATTTTTGGGGATAAAACTCTGATAATATAAACTCTCCTTCTCTCCCTCTCTATATTTCTATTCTCTCTGATCGCTATATGTGACCTGATTGTAATCTTTCATAAATAAAAAGACAGTAGACGTAGGACTCGCTTTGAGCATCTGAACCACTTTAAAAATCATCTCCCTTTTATTTATTTCATTTTCCAGTTCACGTGTAATTTCTAAGTTCGCTTAGCACTTTCCACACGCGAATAGTTGGTATCAAAATCGAGCATCAACAGTTGTCATGATCTGTCCCATAATGGTAATTATACATTTTAAATCTAAATGTTATATCAAGATTTTAAACTAACATTCTCATTAATAAAAGGAATTAATGCAGCATATATGCAGGGGCGGACCCAAGCCCCTTGAGGGTAGGCCCAGGCCTGCCCTCAACTTTTAAAAAAAAAAAAAATTGCAAAGTTTTTTTGAAAGGTTAAAAAAAAGTAAAAAGTTAAAAAATGAAAAAGTTAGGTTTTGTCTTTTTCATATTCAACTTTTTCTTCCCCAATTCCCAACTTCCCTTTTACATGACGGCTGAGCTCAACCTTGAACCAAAAAATTAAAAAAATCCCCCTCTCAACTTCTCTCACTCACGTCTCCTGAAGGTATTGGTAACAGAAGAAATATTCTTGTAGCCATTCTTTGCACAACATCGGCAACATTTTTGAGCAAGCTGCAATACTTTATCCAAATTGAAGATCGAGATTTGCTGGTGGATTTGTTGGGTATGTATTATATAGTCATCATCTCTTACAGATGTTTTTATTTATTTATTTATTTTAAATCTACAATAATATTTCTATCAAAAATTTACACAAAAGAATAAAATTTTCAGAATCTTGTATGAGAAAATTGACCAAAATTTTGTGTTTTAGTACAAAACTAACGTCATAATGAATGTACGTATGTCTTGATTTATGATTATCAAAACTGAATATATAAAAACCCCCCTCTCAACTTCTCTCACTCATGTCTCCATCTCTCATTGGATGCTATTAAATATTTAAATGTATCATGTCTGATGTGTTAAATTAAAATATGTCTTATGTATCATGTATCATGGTTTGTTCATGTATCTTATTCAAGAGAAAATTAAGTTGCGAAATTAATTTTTTTTTTTTTTTTTTTATAGGAATCTCTTTGGTACTAACTCATTATATGTTTATTGGATTTGGAATCCAAAGCATTAACAAATAAGATTATGATATCCAATTATTTCAAGAGACTGAAGAAAAGTCCAATAAAAAATGTTGATGGAGACTCTACTGATATTGAGGTTAATCAAACCTCATTAGCAGAAGAAGCCCCACAACAGCGACAACAACACCAAGTAAAAGAAGCTCAACCTTCAATCGGGGTGTTCAATTTAGATGAGCTTGAAATTGACCCAGGATTGAGGATACCAATTAACGAGCTTTGTTGTACTAACAAACAAAAAAATGAAGTTCGAAAAGCATACTTGTTGAAAGGTCCTTGCCAACCTAAAGATCATAAATTTTCCTTTCACTCCTTTTGGAGATAAAAAGCGTAGCTTTACATCAGAGTGGTACAAAAAAGGTTCACGTTGGATGGAATATAGTGTGGCAAAAGATGCAATCTTCTATTTGAATTGTTATCTTTTCAAACCCGATTATGGTGACCAAGCAGGTGGTGAAGTTTTTGTGATTAATGGATATAATAATTGGAAAGATAAAGCAAAAGTGAAAAAAACATGTTGGTGATCATTCTAGTACTCATAACCAACGTCATTCCAAGTGTGTTCATTTGATAAACCAAAGGCAACACATCGATGTAAATCTTGCTTGGGTGTCGAAAAAGGGCAAATTGGACTATCGCATTCACTTGAATGCATTAATTGATTGCATTAAATTCCTTTTACATCAGGGATTAGCATTTTGTGGCCATGACGAGTCGGTTAAATCTGAAAATCAAGGTAACTTTATGGAACTATTGAAGTTTCTATCCAATCACAATGACGACATAAAGAAAGTTGTGCTGGGAAATGCTCCAAAAAACCATCAAATGACGACCCCCAAAATCCAGAGGCAACTTACTGGTGTTTGTGCTTTTTTGACGACCAAGAAAATTATTGCAGAAATTGTGAGAGATAAACAACCGTTTTCTTTACTAATTGATGAATCTTGTGATGTGGCAGTGAAAGAACAAATGGCTATTGTTTTTCGCTATGTGGACAAAATAGGTTGCGTTATTGAACGTTTTATTGGGATTGTGCATGTTAAGAATACTTCTACAAAGTCTTTGAAAATTGCAATAGATGCCTTTTTTGTAAAGTATGGATTGAGTTTGACAAGTTTATGGGGCCAAGGTTACGATGGAGCAAGCAATATGAGGGGTGAGTTCAATGGTTTGAAGACTTTGATATTGAGAGAAAATAAATTTGCTTTCTACATTCATTGTTTCTCTCATCAACTCCAATTGGCGCTAGTCAAAGTTGTAAGTAAACATTTAGCATTAGGTGAATTTTTTCAAACTCTTTGTATGTTATCAAACACTATAGCAGCATCTTGCAAGCGCAGATATCTTCTATGTGATAAACAGTATGAATATGTGATATCTTTGATTTCTAATGGTGATATTCAGACGGGACGCGGTTTGAATCAAGAATGCACTATTAAACGACCAAGAGATACACGTTGGGGTTCACACATAGGGACAATCCATATTGTCATAAACTTATTTTCTTCTGTTGTTGGTGTGCTTAGAGTGATTGAGATTGAAGGAGATGATTGGTAAAACAAAAGTCAAGCAAGGAATTTATTATGAATCATGGAGAATTTTGAATTCGTTTTTTTGTTATTCTTGATGAAGAAAGTATTGGGAATCACATATGAACTGTCACAAGCATTACAAAGAAAACATTGCTTCGACGTATTGTTAAAAGAAGCTTATGATATGTGTAAAGATAATGACATACCAATCCCGGAGAACATGGAAGATAATTTTGGGAGGACAAAACGAGGGATTGCGCCAATTACGAATAAGCATCATTTTAAGGTGGAATTGATGTACACAGTTTTAGATAACATTCAAGAAGAACTCAATAATCATTTTGATGAAGTAAATATGAGGTTGCTTCAGTGTATGGAATCTCTTGATCTAAGTAACTCTTTTGTTGCATTTAACAAAGACAGATTACTTGAGTTTGCAAAGTTATATCTTGCCGATTTTCCTCAACACGATATTTGGTTGCTCGATAATCGACTTGAAAACTATTATGAGGATGTTAGCACCAACGTCAATTTCACTCATGTTGATGGGATTGCCGATCTTGCAAAAAAAATGGTTGAGTTTAAGAAGGATGTTGCTTACGACAAAGTTTTCTTGCTTATTAAATTAGCACTGGTTTTGCTCGTGGCTACTGCAACAGTTGAAAGGGTGTTCTCTGCAATGAATCTTGTTAAGAATACTTTGCGTAATTGAATGGAAGACGAGTGGATGAACAATTGCTTAGTAGTTTACCTTGAAAATGAAGTTTTTGCTACAATTCAAAATGAAGATATCATTGAACATTTTCAGAACATAATGAAGCGGAAAATCGTGTTAAATTGAAGATCTTCAGGTATACTATTCTAACTTGCTTTCATCTTTAAATAATCAATATTCATATTATTTAGATCTTTAGGTATACCATTCTAACTTGATTTTTGGGTCAATATGCAGAGGATGTGTGGATCTTTAATCTAGACGGTTGAATTAGAATGTTAACGTCTGGATCTGGATTTGGAGTGATTGTAATCCATCTTTTGATTATATTGGATTTAAGTGGATTATTAGATTCCCGTGGTTTTTTTTATCTCTTCACATTGAAGATGTTTTTCCACATAAAAATTTTCTTGTGTTTCCTAGTGAATTGGATGTTATTTTCTTATGTTTTCACTACTTGATTGGCAAACGATGGCGGAGCGACAAGGCCCCTCCTGGACAAAAATCCTGGGTCTACCACTGCATATATGTGAAGGCAAGGCCTACGTATCTATTACCTACTCTTCCTTGTTACAGCAAGGTTGTTTGGATTCATCAGATAATTAATCTCCATTCTTAAGGCTTGATGCAGTTGATGGCAAACTGAGAACTAGTCAATTCACTACGCAGTGGCTGTGCAGTTTCGGCAATAGATTGTTTTTAGCCAACTGAAAGTCAACTCAAAATGGCATCCCCACCCCCCAGCTAAAGCTCTTAAATAAACACAACAAAGGCCCAACACGTAAACTTCCTGATAGGTGAGACTACTCCATTTAGAATCCGACGGGGCAACATCACGTCGTAATTAAAGGATGGGTGTTTATATTACTACAAAAATCTCAACACTTTTCTTTGGGATTTTAAAAGATGTAACCACTCACAAATAATTTAAGATGTATACATATGATGAATGTTAGAACATGCAAGTGTCGGAGATGCATGGAATGATAGTTTATGGAATCGTACAATTGAAATTTAATGAAATAAAGTAAGTATTGGCACATTCTGGTCCCTGCAACAAACTCCCTGTGATATAAATTAAAATCTGTTTCCTCGAATACGCGGCCCATGAATTACTTATCAATTTCACGATGCATATTTACAATCTACGTACCCAAAAAAATACAAACACCATAACTTGGTCGTACATTAACCGTTGCAGTTGGCACGTCCAGGCCTGGCTACAGAAACTTGCAATTCATAGCATACATCATTAATATTGATAATAAAACTATAGAAGTGCTAGGTGTATGAGCATCTGTGATGCATTTATAGTGGAAGATGTGGTCCCATGTCCTTTTGGCCCACACCAACTTAAGGAATGGGCCATTGGCTGTTATACCCAGTGGCCATTGCGTTCTGCAATCTGGAGTTGAACCATTTTTGTCGTATTTTCCTTTCCTACAAGTGGGTCATTTACATTTATTCGTGGAAAACCCAAGAATCGTCTTTTATATATATATATATATATATATATTACAAGCTAGGCTGTTTAAAGGTCGTAAAATTGTTTCTGCGTAGTAAATTTATTTTAAAAAACTTAAGATATGGATATGGTAATGGAATCTGTATTTTACTAGATACTTCCAGTACGGTAGTTTTAATAAAATGATTAAATAAAATCTTCGGGTCCATTTGTTTTGTTATTTTGGATAAGATTTTGAGAATAATATTTGATAGTTGAATAGAGTGAGTATTGCGAGGTAAAATTTAAAATTTTTTAAAAAAACCCCTTAGGTTTGCTAATTTAACTAAACACCCTAATATATAAAAATTTTATGAAATAACAAAAACACTCCCACCCATCCACCCATAGTGCAAGATTTCGGCTACCACCGCTGAAATCTGGCCGAAAAAATGGCGTTACGACGCAAACCGATCGGATCTGACTGGTCATGCGTTGATATGGCCTTTTCCGGCTAGATCCACCACTGATCTGGTCGGAAAATGTCAGATCTACGGCCAAATCTGGTCTTTTGCCCAAATCTGGCCTTTGACAACCGCAAAAGACCAGATTTGGTCGTCAGCGACGGCCAAAGAAATTGCCATCGTTAACCGACGATGGCCATTTCTTTGGCCGTCAGATCTGGTCTTTTCCGGTCAGATCCACTGTGGATCTGACCGAAAAAAGCTAGATCAGTAAATTATCAGCCATTTTTTATCGTTTCTACACCGTTGTGATAGATTCTGGCAACCACCGTTGAATTTGGCAACTATGGGTGAGTGAGGGTGTTTTTGTTAATTTTTAAACTTTTTTTCTAGGGGGTGTTTATTAAATTAATAAACTTAAAGGGTTTAAAAATAATTAAAAAAATAGAATAGTATTTCTCAAATAATAAAACAAACAAGTATTTTTGGAATATGATTAGAAATATGGATAGGAATGACAAAACATTCGGAGCCTTGAATATTCATATTCTCCAATTACGTGCTGCAGTTTTTTACACTAAATCAAAGTGTTATAATATATACTTCAACATCAATGTTAATATCTCCCAATAAATACGTGGCTTCCAAAATATTATAAAAGCATATGGGCCATAAGACATTGATGGCTAGAAAAAAATCATTCATGACATAACAGAATTTTCCAATCAACTTCTACCGACTGCAAAACATAAATTAAAAAGATGACATACGACCGAATAATACAAAACGAAAACCAAATAGACATCCTCAAGAAAGAAGCCAAGCAACCATTGCATTTTGTTTTTCATAGTCTTTATCTTCCAACTTGGTACTCTCTCCTTCCCACAACCAAGTTATAATTTCATCTTTTTCATTAAATTGCTCATCATGCCCTAGAACAACATTTTCCCAATCCCAGTCAATTCTAACATCATCAAAACAAGAAGAACTACTGTACCAATCACACTCTCCATTTGTACCTAGATTAACAGTATTACTCTCCGCCTCTTCCCAGCTGCCTGACAAACCATTTGAACAACTTAAATTTCTATCTTCTATCTCCCCACTGAAATTCAAATCCATTGAACAATTTTCTCTCTCTGCACTCAAGGTCAAATCCCCATTTGGATCTAGTAGTCCGTTGTCCATAATGTCATTAAAACACAGCATCTCACCGTCAATGCCTTCATATGGTCCTAATATTTCAGTCTCTTTCTCATCACCAGTAGTGCACAACATTGAATTACCAATTGGTCTGTCCTCGCTAGGGTATAATACTTGCTTTTCTCTCTCCTCAATTGAGCCCAACATTTTTTCTACAGTAGTCTCTCGATAAGGACTCGGCAAAGCCAGGTTTACAATCTCCTTATCTTCTTCAAAAGGATCCAAAACCAAGCAACCTTCGTTGGCACAAGACCATGTCTCTTTCTCTCTGATTAGTGTGGCTGGCAGGGGTATAACTTCGTCGACCGAAACATTTTCGATGGTTCGCTTTGTCGAAATACTTATATCTTTCTGGATATAACTTTTGTTCTTCTTCATTGCCCATCTACTTGTTCTACCCCCTTTTCGTTTGGTTGTAATAGCGTCAGGCTTGGCCACATCAGCTGATATGATCCCTACTGTTTTGCCTGAAGACCTCCAGAAAGTGTGAATTTTTCTACTTAAATGGGAGTTCCAATAATTCTTTATCTCGTTATCCGTTCTTCCTGGTAAATGGTTTGCTATCAAAGACCACCTGAAGGGAAATCAGAAGTGTTAACTGTTAAGCTTCTTGACTTTTCATACGTCTTACTTGGTTACTCTATGATGCAAGAGCAAAACAGTACACTCAGGTTTACCTTTGGGAACAAGGGTGAAAAAAAAAATCAACTTAATTCACTGGGATCTTATTATTTAAACGTCCCTTTCCGTCAAAAGAGAACGAGGGTGGGTGTACTCCCCAACTTACCGGTCAAATTCTTTTTAAACTACGTTATCTTTGATTAATATCACTTAAAATTTAAAGAATCTTATCAGAGCATCTTTAATCATATAAATAAATAACAGCTTTATTAATTTTTAAATATAAAAAACAAATTTTTTATTCAAATCCAATAGACTCTTTAAATTTTAGGAGAGATAATATATTTTTAAAAAAAAGAAACTTAAAAGAAAAAATAAATCATAAATAAAATACAGAGAATCTTACAATTTATTATTTAAAATTAGAATAGTTAATGAAATTTGACTCTCTAAATATAGATAGTCAAACTCACTCTTTAATTTATATTCAAAAAATAAATAGTTTGTTAGGCTCTTGTTTCGATGAATAAACTTCTTATAATAAAAAATTTAGGTTATATAAATAATCCTTCATGTAT